GTTTGGCAGGATTTGTTCTTGACAAACCCATCCTGGCTCCCACTGCATTGTCATCAAGATACTTGGAGACTCCTGTACAATCTGTTCTAATATTTGTCCTGATGCTGAGGTCAAGCTGACTAGTGTGTAATTCCCTGGATGTACTTTTTTTGCCTTTAAAAAAAAGAGAAGAAGAAAAAAGACACATTATTTCATGTATCTTCTATTGCTCAAAAACACCTTTAAATTTCTCAAATCTGCAGTGCCTTGAGTCAAGGTGCACATCAATGCAACTTTTGCCAAGATTACCAAATCCAATAAAATTTATCTCTATCCATAAATATCATTTCTTGTCTGGTGGTCTGTTGCTATCAGATCATGGAAATATTACTGTTGTGGAGTGCAACTCTCAGAATCCAGTGGCCATGTAGGCTGGCAGATTCTGGAAGGTGTAGTCCCAAAAGTAACTTTTCAGAACTGTGGTTTTCAACCTGGCATTTTTTGTGCATTTCTCAGAAGCGTCTCTTTGGCCACTTCTGAGTACAAAAAATAGATTAGACCAGTGATTCTCAACCTTTAATCCACATTGTTATTGTTATTACTGTGTGTCTTCAAGTCCTTTCCAACTCATGATGACCCTAAGGCAAATCTATCACAGGGTTTTCTGGGGCTGAGAGTTTGTTACTTGCCCAAGTGACCCAGTGGGTTTCCATGGCCAAACGGGGAATGAAACCCTGGTCTTGAGAGTCGTAGTCCAACGCTCGAACCATTACACCATGCAGGCTCTCTCTTTAATCCACTACCACCTACTCTATGCACAACCTTGAGCTGCAAGCAGAACATTATGGCAAGTAAAATAATGCTTTAGACTAGACCACAGCTTTTTGAGGTACAGTTCTCTTTGTGATATATATTATACCAGTAACAGGCAAATATTCAATAAAATAGTTTTTTGTGTGTTTTTCGGGCTGTGTGGTCATGTTCTTGAAAAGTTTAGACCATGGCCACACAGCCCAAAAAACACACAAAAAACCATGGATGCCATGAAAGCCTACGACTTCACATTCAATAAAATCTTTGGGTCTGACAATTATAATTCAACTGCTCTTTAATATCAGACTTATTTGAATCAGCTTCTTTGCTTTTCATTACCACTATTATAGTGCTTCTCTGTAGTATTCCTTTTATAAGTGTCCATAAGCATGTAAGTCTTCTTGTAAGTTGGTGTAGGCAAATTCTGCAGGCCCAGGGGCTTTATCTGCTTCTGAAAATTCAGAAAGCTGCTTCTGTCCCTCCAACCTCCTATGTTTCTGCACTATTTTTGGACTCCCTGACAGCCTCTCATGCCATCCAGGGCTGAATCTGCACTTTAGAAATAATGCAGTTTAACAACACTGTAACTGCATTGCTTAATGAAATGAAATTCTTGGATTCGGTTAGAATGCTCTGGTGCCCCAAACTACAAATCCTGGGATTCCATAGGATGGAGCCATAGCAGTTAAAGCAGTGTCAAACTGCATTACTTTTTCAGTGTAGATGCAGCCCAAGGGACAGACTGGACTTTTTGCTCCATTTCTCTCTCTTCCCAACCTGTTTTAGATCTGCAAAGGAGCCTTTTTCCAAAATCAGACACTACCAATCACTTCCAGTTTTGATAAAAGGTCTTCCATAGGCCCCAAACAGATTATTTTTCTGGTTGCTTTCCTTTTTCAACATAGTAAAACTGTATTAAAAGCATACATAGCTTCTTTTATATGTTAGCAATGTTTAACTTCCAAGACCCTGATCATTTCGAAGAATCTCTAGTAGGTTATTCCTTCTATGACTTAATATTATGTGTTCTTTTTCCAAAGAAGCAACAACAACAAATAGGCTGTTTGAGAAACACAATGGAGAGTGTAAAATGAAAGACTCTACTTGCAGTAAATAATTGAAAAGATTTTTTTCCTTTTGTCATCCAAGATTTTTTTCTTTTTTGACTGCTGCTTGGCAAGTTGTTCTAAGGCTTCCCCTTAGGTTGACCCCTACAGTAATTGGAATTTCAATTATTCATTTTCAATTATCAGCATGACAGAATGATCACAAACGTCATTAAGTATTAAATTACCCCTAATGATGGATGGAAAGAGAAAGAGAAATGCTTCTTCAGGCCAGGTATCCACTGCACCTTCCTTTTGTATTACCCAGATCTACATACTTGAGGTAGAGCTTATGAAATATTTCATGTATATGCATAAATACCCTAAAGGCATCAGATCCTATCTGATCTTGGAAGCTAATTAGGATCATTTTAGGTTAGGAATGAGGTGGGAGACGCCTCAGGTACTGAGGGCAATATTTCAGTGGAAGGAATTGGCAAAATCACTTCTGAGTATCCCTTGCCTAAGAAGAAGACTAAGAATGGGGAGGGTGGCTATGAAAGAACTAGAAAATTTTAAAATGCAAAGATATAAAACTCAGCACAAAAGTTAGAATCATACAAGCCATCGTATTCCCTATTGCCATGTATGGATGTGAGAGCTGGACAGTTAAGAAAGAAGGTAGGAAGAAAACCAATGCATTTGAGATAATGTGGTGCTGGTGAAGAGTGCTGAGGATCCCATGGAGAGCCAAAAGGACAAACAAATGGGTCCTAGAGCAGATCAAGCTGGAAACCTCCCTGGAAGCCAAGATGACCAAACTGAGGCTGTTGTACTTTGGACACATCATGAGAAGGGAGAACTCTTTGGAAAAATCAATAATGCTGGGAAAGGTGGAGGGACGTAGGAAGAGAGGAAGACCACATGCAAGATGGATGGACTCCATTAAAGAGGTCACGGGTATTAAGGGGTTGCAGGAATTAAGCAGAGGACAGAGGGTCTTGGAGATGTCTCATACATAGGACCGCCATGAGTCGAGATCCACTCGAGGGCAGTTAACAACAACAACAACAACAACAACAAAACTGGCAAATGTAATATCGGAACCATTGGCAAAATCTTTGAGAATTCCTGGAAAACAGGAGAGGTCCCAGTGGACTGG